TCTTTATGTTGACAATATATGGATAGTTGCGAAAAACAAAGAAGAAATTAAGCAGTTGAAAACTCAACTTAATAAGGAGTTTGAGATGAAAGATATGAGTCCTACTAAAAAGATAGTCGGAATAGAGATTAGAAGAGACACAAAAGCATTCAAATTATACCTTTGTCAAAAGGGATACATTGAAAAGTTTCTTCTCATGTTTAATATATAAGTGCGAAGCCTGTGAGCACTCTGCTAGTAGCTCACTTTAGACTTTGATTGGATTGTTTGCTAAAATCATATGCAAAGGTAGATTACATGTCACATGTTCCATATTCTAGTGTAATGGGATCTCCAACATATGTTATGGTTTATACACGTCTGGACTTAACATACACAATTAGATCAGTGAGTAGATACATGACGAATCTTGGTAAAGAATATTAGAAATCTATCCAATGGATTTTCAGTTATCTTCGTGTTACTAGTGATATTTGCTTACAGTTTAGGTGAACTAGAGATGGAGTCGTGGGGTATGTAGATTCTGATTTTGCGAAAGATCTTGATAAGATGAGATCACTTACTTTGTCATTAGAAGATGTTCCATTAGTTGGAAAACTACTCTTTAGAGCACAATCTCCTTGTCAACTACAGAAACAGAGTATGTGACAATCACTAAAGCTTGTAAAGAAGTTATATGGTTAAAGGGAATCTTTGATGAACTTAGTGAAGACCTTCATGTTAGTATAGTGTTCTGTGATAGTTAAAGTGATATATTATTAATGAAAGATCATATGTTTCATGAGCAAACGAAACATATTGATATTCGCTATCACTTTGTGCGTGATGTAATTGCTCGAGTTGATATTGTTGTGAGCAAAGTCAGTACTCATGATAATTATGCAGATATGATGATCAAACCACTCACTACAATCAAGTTTGAGCATTTCTTTGACCTGGTGGATGTTCATTGCTGAAGATTATCCCCTTTGAAGGTGTGTTGTGAAAGATATGAAGAATATGTTCAATGAGAAATCATATCAAGGTGGAGATTGTTAGAGTTGTGACCTAATTTCTTATTGAATCAGTCCCCGTAGTACAGAGCAGTTTAATATGTTTCAAACTTTAACTTTTTGCCACATTTATGTTTATCAAGAAAAGAAATTCAGTTAGAGTAGGATTCTTCCTATGCAAGTTTCCTTGTTTACTTTATTTCCTATCCTTGTAAATAGAAAGTAGGGACTAGGGTTTTTTAGAGTGGTTTACATTGTAACAAATATTGTACTCTTTCGACTTAGTGAAAATTTCTTTTCATCTGCTCGTGGTTTTTCTCTTTTTGGATTTTCTGCGTAAATCTTAGTGAAACTTTCCTTGTTTACTTTATTTTCTTGTTCGATCATTTTATTTGTCGATTATCGTTCCAATATTATAGCATTGTATTCATTATATTTTTAATAAAAATATATAATTTGATTGTATTACTATTATAATTAAAACTAATTTTTTATAAGAAATTAATCATATAGATGTTATCAAAAAAATTCAATATATTTTATAAAGAAAATTTATTTAAAAATGTATTTCAATATCATATTAGTGATATATTTCTATGTACGACGTTCACTGTATACTAATCCACATATTTTTTTAAATTATTTTAAGGTAAACTAAACGTTTAGTATCTAAACTAATATTTTTTTGTTTTATTTTGATACCTAAACTTGATTTTTTTAAACCATATCTTACGTTTAGTTTAGATTTCATTTTGGTACCTCATCGTTAAAAACATAATAAAATTATTGTATGTGACATTTTTATGGGCAAATTAAATCATTCATCACTCAACTATCTTCTCACTCTTATTTTGGTTACTAAAGTTTAAAAATTTTCAATTTAACTACTCAACTTTTAAATTGCTTCTTTTTTTAATCACACTAATTTATTTCATTAATAATTTTTGTGACATGAAATTTTTATTTTTATTTTATTAATATATAATTAAAATAAGGGTAAAGTATAGTAATGGTCACTGAATATTTCTGAAGCTTACATTTAGGTCCCCTAACTTTTAAAACTTGCAATACAGTCCCCCAACATTTAATTCATTTACAATATGATCCCTGCACCTATGAAAATTAGGGTAAATTATATAAATGGTCACTGAACTTTTTAGGTACTTGGATTTAGGTCCCCCAACTTTTAAAACTTACAAAACAATCCTCAATTTTATTCTAAACCACAAATTCCAAAATAATTCAATTTCATTCTAAACCCTAAATTCCAAAATAATTCAATTACATTCTAAAACCCAAATTCTAAAATACTTCAATTTCTGTCTTTTTCTATAAATGACGTCAATGTCACTAAATTATTATTAATTTACTTTTTATATTTAAAAACATATGATAGTTTTTTAATATTAATTTAAAGACATGAAAATTTTTCAATAGTAAGAATATATGATAATAATTCATTTATTTAAAAATAAATATATTTATGATTATTTGTGTATGTTTTTATATCTAATCATACGTGTTAATATATTTTATATCTTTCATATAAATATTAATACTACATAAATAGCAGAGTCAAAATTTTATATATGAGTTATGTTAATTATAGTAATGATGTATAAATATATTTTTATTTTTATATTATTTATATTATAATTAAAATATAAATATTACCATGATAATTAAATATTTATGTACTTATTACATCGACTATTTTTTGTAGAAAAATTAATTAAGAAAATCATAAAAAAACAATAAAAAATAAACACTGAAGTTGACTACTTCAAAAATAAAATAAATCAATAATTTAATATAATATACCCTAAGTTGATGATAACAATCAACTCAAAAGAGATGGGGTTTGTGCCATGTTTTCGTAACGTACGTAAACTTTCTATTTCATGGTCACGTATTCTTTTAGTTCTAGCACGATCTATTTTTTAATTTTCTAATACACTTAACAAAATTATATTATAACTCGTTAAGTGATTTCATAGGTAAAAAAATGTTATTTTCTTTAAAAGTTTTAAATTCAAACAATTGTGTTTGTAGGGTATATCTATATTATTAATAAATTAAAAAATTTGAATAAATACTATCTTATAATCACATCAAACTATTAAAAAACTAAATTATAATTGAAATAAATAAAAATTATAAGGATGTCAATTGGGGATTTTGATTCTTAATTTTTTCATTGAGAGATTGTGTTTTTTTATTCAATTTCTTCCATAATCATTTTTTATATTTAAATTATTGAAGGTCACGAAATTTACATTTACGAGGAGGGAGTTTATTTTTTTTCTTCACAAAAGTAAAAAAATCAAAACGCTATCACGTTCTTAAAGATAATCTAGTATATTCCTCCTTAAATTGAAATATTTTAGAATGTAATTGAATTATTTTGGAATTTAGGGTTTAGAATGAAATTGAATTACTTTGGAATTTGAGGTTTAAAATGAAATTGAGGAATGTTTTGTATGTTTTAAAAGTTAGGGTACCTAAATTCAAGTGCCTGAAAAGTTCAGTGGCCATTTATATAATTTACCCTAATTTTCATAGGTGCGGGGACCATATTGCAAATGGATTAAATGTTGGGGGATTGTATTGCAAGTTTTAAAAGTTGAGGGACCTAAATGCAAGCTTCAAAAATGTTCAGTGACCATTACTATACTTTACCCTTAAAATAAAAAAGGGTAAACTATGCGAAAAGTCTCATTTGTTTTCGGTCTGGCCAACTTTGGCCATCAATTTAAAAATTAAAGGTATATAGTTGATAACTCTCCAAAAGAGTTATTATTTAGAGCCTTTTTATTTAGTTTAAGCTTGTACTTTAGCATGTTTAGTATCACATTTAGAATAATTTTAGCATATTTTACATCATTTGCATATTGGGAGAGTTTATTGATACTTGGGCATATTTTGATGCTTTTGTTGTGAATTTGCTACTTTGATGTTGTGACTTTGGCTGATGTTGTAGGTTTTGGGGTGAGCTGATACGAGACAGAATTGATGGGTCGTTGCTGTAGCATTCGACGCGTCACCAGAAAAATAGAGAGATTTTAGGACTGGATAGCTATTGAAGATAAGGATGGAATTTAATTTTTAAATAAAAGGAATTTTAGATAAGAAGGGAAACTTTTCTATTGGTGAAAAGTTTGACCCTATGAGGCTATGAATACAACATTTTCTTCATCTCTAAAAGACCTAATTTTTCCACAACCTACTTTTACTTTTCTATTTTCCACCCCCTTTCTACAGATAATGGTAGTTGTAGTTGTACACACTATTCTTCTTGTTTGACTGTCCAAAAACCCAATAATATAAAGCCCCTCTTTAAATTCAAAGCCTTTGAAATTGATTTAACCTATTTTGACAGCCTCTTGTTTTAGCCTTAAGTGTAAAGCATCCCTGATTATCACAAAGGTTTACTTGTTTATACGACAGGTTGAAGAAGAAGAAGAAGAATTTAAAGTGCCACGTAAGACTTCTGTTAATTGTTTGACAGACAATAAAGACGGAGGGACTAAAATCGAATGGATCGATAACGTTAGGGATCTTATACCGTTAATTTTTAAAATTGGTGATCAAAGTCGGTCAGACTGAACTATTCACATAGTTTATCCAATAAAAAATTAAATTTGAAAGTTAGAATGATTAAATTAAGAGTAATTTTAAAGATAATTAATTAATTTAAAAAAAAAATTCTGTGACAAAGAGAGTAGCGAGAAGATAGTTAACGAATGATGATGAATAATATAATTTACTCATAAAAAGTGTCGTGTATAACAGATCCTTTAAGTTTTCAAAGATGATGTACCAAAATGAAAATAAAAAATAAATATTAGGTATGATTTAAAAAATTAAAAGTTTAAGTACCAAAACATGACAAAAATAATAATTTTGGTACTAAATTTATAGTTTACCCATTGTTTTATCGGTACTCAACTAGTCAACTGGCAGCTTTATTAGATTCTTTTCATCTGTATGCATTTCACATGTAGAGAGAGAATCAGCAAGAAACCTTTTATTTGGATAAGCCGCTCTTCTGAAGCGACTATTCAATTTCTAAGCTTAAAATCAGCAAAGCCATTGCCTAGCAATGACCGACGGCAGCTCCCAAGTCATAACTTGCAAAGGTAACTTAAACTTTACCAATATTGTTTGATTTATGCTGAATTGTAAGTTTAAGCATCGGATCATGTTCCAGAAACAAAAGTCCGATCTCTTTTGATCTCACTCAACTCGTTAATCATTTTAGCTAGATTTCTTAAATAAGATCAAAGATTCCAATCTTGACGATTTTAAACAAAATAGACTGAATTAAGAAGTTCGTCCCATAATTGATCTTTGCAAATCCCTATCTGGATATCAATTGTTAATTGAGAAACAAAAGTTGCTGTAATTCTATATTTGAGTGTCACAACATCTTTATCTCTTTGCTACTGATGGCAGCAATAGTATGTTGGGCAGAAGGGGAGACATTGAAGGTGGAAGATATACAAGTAGAACCACCAAAGTCATATGAAGTTCGAGTTAAAATGTTATGTGCCAGTGTTTGTCACACCGACATATTGTCCGCCAAAGGATTGCCGACAGTAAGTAAATTTGTTCCTCAATGAGTTTATGCGTCATTTTTCAATATATTAGTTGTCGACGAACTCTCCTTTGCCCTCTTTCAGCCTATTTTCCCACGAGTCCTGGGCCACGAAGGTGTCGGGTAAGCCAAACCCTCTGTCTCTTGTGCCATTTATAACCAAAACGGTAAATACAAAAGTTTTGTCTTTAATTTTCAGGGTGGTGGAGAGCATTGGTGAGGGAGTTAATGGGCTAAAACAAGGAGATATTGTGATTCCAACCTTTGTTTCAGAGTGTCAAACATGTGAAAATTGCACATCCGGGCAGACCAATTTATGCTTGAAATACACATTGCTTTGGGATAGCCGACAGTTGGATGGCAATTCAAGAATGTCCATCAAAGGCCAAAGCTTGTTCCACCGATTTGGATGTGCCACTTGGTCTGAATATATGGTTATAAATGCCAATTACGTTGTTAAGGTTGATCCATGCATACCTCTTTCAGATGCAAGCTTCCTTTCATGTGGATATTCAACTGGATTTGGAGCTGCTTGGAAAGAGGCTAAGGTTAAGGAGGGCTCATCCGTAGCCGTTTTCGGTCTTGGAACTGTCGGATTAGGGGTATGATCTCTTAGCATTTACTATCAATTGTCAACAACATTCCAACATCTCAGAACATTAAACAATGGGAATTTATGCTTAAATTCACAGGCTGTTGAGGGAGCTAGAATTCAAGGTGCAAGTAAAATAATCGGCATAGACAAGAACCCGAGAAAAAAAGAAAAGGGACTAGTTTTTGGAATGACGGATTTTATAAACCCTTACGATTCTGAAAAGTCCATCAGCGAATCAGTTCGAGAACTAACCGGTGGAACGGGCGTGGATTATAGCTTCGAGTGCACTGGGGTTGGACCCTTGCTTAATGAAGCCATTGAATCCACAAAACTGGTTAGTAAATTGGTATTAAATGTATGCTAATGCACTAATGGAATGATGTTTTTCAAAGAATTTGATGGTATCGTCTGGTTTCACTGGTGGACAGGGAAAAGGAATCACCATTATGATGGGTTCAGGAGGTAAATCAAGCATGCAGATAAATTTCCTTCCCATGATTTGTGGAAGAACTCTGAAGGGAAGTGTTTTTGGAGGCCTAAAACCCATATCTGACCTTCCTATTCTACTTGAAAAATGTAGAAATAAGGTATCATTTTTGTGTCTACTAAAATTTATAAACAGAAATCTTTCAAGGTATCTTAATGGTATGTGATTACAAAGTAGTATATGTTCATAATATTTCTTGTTATTGACAATGTAAAGACACTTTGTAAATATAGCTGCTCAAACCTAGGATAAAATTCACTCATTCGGCATTCATTCCAGTCCGGATATAATTATTTGCATGTATCTGTGAAAAGAATTTTATGTAATTATGCAATTTTCTTTTGCTTTGTTTCTTCCGTAGGAAATCCATCTTGATGAACTCTTGACACATGAAGTTGAGCTAGAAGATATAAACAAAGCATTTGAGCTGCTGAAGGAGCCAGATTGTGTGAAGGTTCTGGTCAAGATTTGATTGATCTAAGCAATAAGAATGCGTTTGTCTTCTCTCCCTTTTAAATACCCTAAAGTTCTAAAACAATCCACACTGTTTTAGGCAATGTCTAATAAAATCATTTTACATCCTAAAACTCAAGTTGTAGTTCATAGGCAAAGGACTATTTTTCTCATGTTTTTAACGAAGAACAAATAACTAGATTAAACTGAAAGGATTTAGATTTGGAGAGCTAAAATTTCAAATACGGTATTATCATGACATGCATAAACTGCAGTCTACGGAGCAACTAGAGGTGTACAAAAAATCCGAATATTCGATTTTGCGCAAAAATTATCCGAAACCGGATTTGGGAAAACTGATTTTTTTAAATCGGATCGGATATTTTTCTCAAGTTGTTAATATAGCCGTTGGGCGGGTTTTTGTGACCGTTTTTTCCTAAAAAAATTACCATTTTACCACCCTAAACATGTATAAATAGGTTGGGGATGTATTTGGTTGATTACAATTTTCTCAAATCTTATTACACAACACTTAAACATCTCTCAAATCTTATTTTTGTAATTTTATGTTCATCATGGCTATAAGTAACACGGCTGAATCTTCCGTTGGGGGAAACCTTGAAGTCGTGAGAGTGATCGAACACACTCGAAACAAAGATATTTGGGATCACTACGATTTATGTGAGATGTCAAATGGCTCGAGGAGGGCGTGTTGTAAACTTTGTCTAAAGTTGCTTGCACCGGAAGGAAACACAACGTTGAAGAACCATTTGACAAAATCATGCAAGGCACTTCGCTCAAGATTGGATCCAAGTCAATCGATTCTTACACCGCAAGGTGGTGTTTTTGTTTACGACAACGAAAAATTACGAGAAGCGTTTACAAAGTTCTTGATTGCAAAAGCATTGTCGTTCGACCACTTTGATGATGGAGATTTCACGGCAACAATTCAACAACTAATGCAACCACGTTATACTCAATTAAGTCGTACTACCATTAGAAGAGATGCTATAAAAATGTGGCATACGGCGAGGAAAAAAATGATTTTAGGATTCCAAGAACACCGTTATGGTTTGCCGCTTACATGTGACGTTTGGAGTTCCCCTCATAATACTGGAAATTCTTTTTTAGTCGTTACGGCACATTGGTTAGATCAAGATAATTGGCAAATGATGAAAAGAACAATCGTGTTTGAATTATTTGATGAGCCGTATACCGGTGCTAATTTATTTACACTTTTAAAAAGGGTAATTTGTCTTTATAAATTAGAAAATAAAGTTCTTTGATAATCCGGTGCTAATTTATTTACACTTTTAAAAAGGGTAATTTGTCTTTATAAATTAGAAAATAAAGTTCTTTGATAATGCATCGAATAATACAAACGCGGTTCCAAGATTGAAAATATTACTTTCATCGATTTTAGACGGTGCGTTTTTTCATACCCGTTGCGTTGCACACATAATTAATTTATCTGTGCAAGTCGGTTTGGAGGTTATTAAGCCGATTAGATTAGAATTTAAAACAATGATAAAATCGGTTCTTTGTAACAACAACAAAAGACTAAATGATTATAAATGATTTTGTAAGTCGGTTAATAAAAAAACTTTGGGGTCCTAATTTGGATTGTCCAACTCGTTGGAACTTAACTTGGATGATGATGCATACCGCCTTAAGGGAAAGGGAAACATTGCAAACATTTCACAATCGGCTTTTCGAGATGGGACATGTCCCAAACATTTATCCGGATTCGAGTTGGGAAACTATAGGCAAAATAACCGATTTGCTTGAGGTTTTTAAAAATGCAACAACTTTTTTATCCGGTGTTTATTACCCTACTAGCCCGTTGGTTCTTAATCAAATATTTTTGTTGGCTACCCGACTAAATGAATTTGAATTTGAAACTGAAGGTTTTCAAGAAATTGGCTTTGCAATGAAGGAAAATTTTTAAAATATTTTAAGGAGGTTCCCCCCATTTTTACTTGTGCCGCCGCTTTAAACCCAATGTTAAATGTTAGCGTGGTTGAAACACTAATTGAACAAATTACGTTTGCTTTTAATATAACTGATGATGAACCCAACTTTGTCCAAAACCAAATAAATTATTTTAACAAATGTTTTCGAGACATGTTTGCAATTTATTTAACTAAATACGAATCAAGTAGTGTAATACATGATCAAATGAGAACGAATGTGGAATCATCTAGTAGACGTCCAAGTAACATAAATTTGTCACTTTTTAACACTTGTAAATTCCCAATCCAAACGATCACGTACTACCACCCCAAGTAGCGAGTTGGGAAATTACATGTCATGCGATTTTCTATCAAAAATGACATTTGAAGAGTTTGAAAGTTTGGATATTTTGGCTTGGTGGAAAGAAAAGGAAGCACAATTTCCGATTCTAGCCACCATGGCCCGTGATTTACTAACCGTCCAAGCTTCTACGGTAGTTTCGGAATCCGCTTTTTCTGTTAGTGGCAGGGTTATATCGCAACGGAGATCAAGACTAAATCCCGAGTCAGTGGAAGTATGCATTTGTTTGAAGGATTACTTGGATGTAGCGGCTCAAAAGCAACATATCACCACCCTAGAAGATGCAATTGATGCCGATTTGGAAGCAAACTTACACATTGAAGAAGTCGAACTTGGAATATCCTCTCCAAACGAAGAAGGCGAAGATGAAGAAGAAGAGATGGCGATGTAGTTTATTTTTAAACTTTATTTCAATTATCGAACTTGGAAGTTTTTAAGTATTTGAATTTATCGAACTTGGAATTTTTTAAGTATTTCAATTATCATAAACTTTGTTGCAATTGATGACGATGTAATTTTAATAATATTAAAATCAGTTTTTTTATATCCGATTTTTTTAAAAAACTGGTTTTTTTTCAAACCGAAACCGGTTACACCATCCGGCCCTCCAAACCGGTTAGGATCCAATCCGGTTTTTTTATAAACCGATTTTTTGGCTAGGTGAAAAAACCGGATAGGTTTTTATCCGATCCGGATCGGATTTAAATCCGACTTTGTGCATGTCTAGGAGCAACTAAGAAAACTGAAAAATATCAAATCAATAAGAATAACAAGTGTCGGAACGGTACTTAAGTTTTTTAGGGCTATGGCGGGGAGCGATCTAACTTAATCTTGGAAAAGATTGGGTTTTAAAATGAAGAACAGATAAATAGATTTGGAGTCTCTATCGATCTTTGGGTTAGGTAGGTCGAATACCTAAAACTATTTTTTTTAAATAATTTAAAAAAATAATTTTAAAAGATAAAAAATGATATGCGTTTAACCAGAAATTTATTTTGGAAAGGGTTAGGGAGTCAATTACGTGTGGGGAAGGATAGCACCCCCACAACGCCCGAAACTGGTACCTAAGCGACTATATGTCATCTAAATATTGAAATTGACAAATTCGAATATACATTTAGAAAAAAATATAAGAGTTATTATTTTGCATGAGCAATTCTCGAAATACATTCCTCGTCAGTTAAGAGGCACTTCCATATATTCCCCATACAAAATAATATTGCCCAAATTTTTGATAAAATACATATATTAAATATATTAAAATAAAAATTCATTCAAAAATAAAATATATTATTTTGTTCAAACAATTCTTGGAAACACACTCCTTGTTAGTTAAGGGGTGTTTCTATAAATTCCTCGTGTAAGATAATATTTGAAAATATTACAACAAGTGGAAAATTAACAAATATATAAATGATGGATAAAATAATAAAGAATAGTGATTTTAGGGATTAAAGTACACAATCAACAATAAATAAAGGCAACCATTGCAAATATTTTACAATCCAAGCACTACAACTGTAAATAAACCAAATACAATCATTCATGACCAAGATGGAATTCATTAAAAATAAGGTACTCAAATTAAAATAATCATAAAGATAAAATAATAAGTATAAAGGGACTAAAATGAAATAAAACTAAAAAAATAGCCAAATCATAATCAATTAGTGACTAAAATGCATAAATTGAAGGTATCATGTCTAAATTATAATAGAATAATAAACAAAATCCAAAAAGTGGCCAAAATGAAAATAATAAAAAATAGTGACTAATTTCGAATAAAACAAAGTGAATAAATTAAAACAGCAAAAAATATAGCACAAAATTAAAAAATTAAAATAAACAGAGGACTATTGATCGAAATATAAAAACACGTATAAAGTATAGGGACCTGGAAGAAAATAAACCAAAAAGTTAGTGCTGAAAAATAAAAAGGGAAAATCACTAAATCAATCCCTAAGTATTTTTAAAAAAATTAAAAAGTCACTACATATGACAAAAATGTAAAACACGCCTAAGAGTACAGGGACCAAATAAAAATTAAATTAAAAATATATAATATGCAACAAAAATGGGTAAATTACAAAAATGGTCCTTTCAGGTGACCATTTTGTAAAGATACGCCTAACTTAAGGGGACCTAAGTGCAATTTCCCCCTAAAGTTTTCTATAAATACAAACTTTTCTTTTATTATTAATATTATTATTATTATTATTATTATTTTCATTTCTTTTTTTTAATTTAGAGAGAGAGAGGGTCTGATCTCTTTCTAAGATTCCGACAGGGTGTCGCCGTTCGGGTTGCCTACGGTCGTCACGTCGCCGTTCGCTCCACTGTTGTCTGTCGCACCGTCATCGTCGCCGGGAGCAATTGGCCACCAAATTTCACCCAGAGATCCGTCTCGGCCTCTCCGTTTTGGATCTGGGCTCTGTTTCACCAAGGGATGCACCGAACGTCGTGAAATAGCCGAAGACCGTTCGGATTTCCTCTCTCTAATTTGTCACTGTCTGCCGTTGGATCATTTATCGTTCCAATGTATGTTGCTCCCCTCAACCTCCTCCTTCAATTGACTTTTCGGATCTTCAAAAGGAGGACCCTAATATGGTCATTTCTCATCGACCGAAGGTAACCTCTCTCTTTTTATTATTATTATTATTATTATTATTATTATTATTATTATTATTATTATTTTTTCTTTGATTATATTTCAGTTTTCTAGGATATAATAGAGAAAAAATAGAAATCTCTTAACTTTG